CTTAAATGTAACCAAATATTTACAAAGAAGTGGTTAACCTCAACTGAAAGAACAAACTATGGGATTTACCTTCATGTGGCTCGCGTTTTTATATAGGGCTTCATTTCTTAACTAAGATGAATTATGTAACATTTTTGTTATTCACTTTAGGGCAAAGTGCATTTCGTTAAGTTGAAAGGGCATTGCAATCTGACCGATCCGATTTTTTTTGTGAAAAACTACACTCTAAAGAAATATCGAGTAAAAAGGGTACCTTTTTGTCCCACAACAATAATTGTCATCAGGCTTGCGTATGCTTCCTTTCTTGAAAACTCGGCGCTAGCCACTTTCCTATCGAGAATGCAATGTAACCCTGATAATGGGCATGTCGATAGTGACCGGAATACCTGAATGTACCGGGCGCTGGGCGATAGCGCAAGGATGGAATGCATTATTGTTGTGGGACAAAAATACACTCTTTTTACTCGCTCTTTTTTTAGAGTGTACATGCGACGTAGTGATTATTTCGGTGTTTAAGAAAGTTTTTTTTTTTTTTTTTAGAACCGCGACCACTATTGTGCCGCAGCACTCTCAGGTGAGCTTCGAGCGAAACAAATGGCACGTGGACTCCGGTGAAGTGAGCAGCCGTAATAGCAGGCATCAGTTCCACAGCGCATACACTTCTACCTGCCACCATAGGTAAAAAAACAAAAAACAAAAAAACGCCATCATCCCTGAGGAACAACAGGCTGACAGTTCACGTGCCAGTTGTTTCGCTCGAAGCAACCTTAATTCTTGAGCGAATATGTGACTTAAGCGAATATGTGGCTCAATACAGAGGTATGTTCAAACTCGAACCTTGAAAAGACAATCCTTGCTTAGGTAATCAAGCATGGTTTGTAGTCGCTTGTTTAATTGCAAGTTTGGCTAGACTGTTTCCACAACGATCATGTGACATGGTGCCGGCGACTATGTGGGGACCCTAGACTAAGAAATTGGTCTAGCTCATCACGAGGCCGAGTCAGTCCTTTGTTAGGACTTTTCTGTGTTGCAAAAAGAATGCTCTACTCAACAATGTGACCCATGAAGGCAACACAAACAGATTCTTCGAAATATTCAATAGGACCTCAGACAGTGTCCCACTAAGGAAGAGTGGCTTTCCAATGTGGAATTTTCCACTGTTCCTGACAGGCTTTTTTTTTTTCATCGCCCTGTATGCTTTAGACATGCACTTGGTTCCTGTACCGCATCTTCATAGCTCACTGCTTAATGAAGGCACTCATGCTTGTGCATGAGGGTCAGGATCGATATCATCGTATTCACTGTCACTAAGACAGCGATGCAACTTTTGTCTTCATTTGATAAGCACGTGCAAAGCTCTTTGTTTACATATAATGAGTGGACATTCATCATCTATCCGTAAATAAAATACGAACACATCGTACGGGCCGTCACCATTTACTGCCTCAAATGCCGAATGTCGCAAATAGAGATATGCCACAAAAGCGAGGATCGTGCAACGAAACACGTACTTCAGAACAACGTAACCTGTCGTGTCAAACGTCTTCATTGTGTGCACACAAAAAAGATCTTATAGAAGATTGAACTTTGGTCGCTCAGCCAAACAAGAACCAAGAAGTGAGAGCTGCTGCACATGTTTAGTGCACTCCGCCATCAGCTACAAAACATCTGATTTTAGATTAGAATACCTTACACAAGATAACGCTAGATGTTTCTTGCTGAGAAGTGTGTTCGCCGTGAATACGTGACAGCGGGAATTGAAGGCAGCATGCATTTCGGAACTTGCATGGTCGGCATTTTTCGGTATGTTGCGCATTTGCGACACACGGCAAAATACGACAGCACATGATTGCAGTCTGAAGGTTTCATTTCACATTTTGCGCACTTTTTCTGAAAGTCAGAAAATATTCACCACGCAGTATGTGTGCATTGACAGAAAACTACCGATTCGTCATTTTTAAATGTGCTCTACGATATAGCAGAACGCAGGTGGCCCTAAAGTGAATATAAAGAATAGTGCATAACTGACCTTATTAACCCATTAGGGACCACTGTACCTTTAAAAGTACAGCTACTTTTATGATTTTTGAAAAACGAGAAATGAATAGTTGGTTTTCAGTAGTTCATAATTCTGCCACCCGGGAACAGCTAACACCCCGAAATCAAGAGAACGCGTTTGCACTTCTAAGTGAAGGATATGTCTTCGGTCGAATATCGGCAACCTTCATTCCGGCCAAATGCTCAGGTAAGCACTTCGTAAACTTTTTCTCCTGTATGTAGTATTTCATTGTTCGTAAAAGCTTCGTTTTTAGAAGTTCAAGATTAGAAGTAAACGTTCACAGCTTTAAATGTTACATAGGTTTTATTTTCTTTGTGTTATCTTGAGGTAAACGTTGCTGTGCTATATATATAGTACGCCAGGTCTTCCTGTGTGCACAATGGCGCTCGCTATTCCAGGCATCAAATATCATGGAATCGGATGTTTTCTTTGGCAAGAAACCGTTTGCCGTCTCAGTAAGACACTTGAGGCTGCGGCAGATATTGCACAGAACGCTGATGACAATGTGGATGTCGTCATAATCCCTCCAGAACCATCAGAAGAAACAGACGAAGAGGAGGGTGATGAAGAAGGTAAATGACGTTCTTGGTGAGAAAAATTGTTTTCCTTTTGGAGTAACAGCAATGAATTGCATACACTGCGTTTTCACAATAATCGGCTTTGGTGAACACTAAAGAGAAATAGCAATAGTATTTTTAGGGCCATACCTGACGCTCCAATACGTAGTAGGGCAAAAACATGGCGAATGGGGCGAGGGTAGACATAGGTGAAGGGTTACGATACGCTGGTAGTAGAGGCCGTCTGCAATTGATTCTGTGTATCATCTTGCATGCGTGCCAGCAAAGGTGTGGCGGCGCCTCCGGAATGCAGCCATTCATGCTTGCTTCAGATGGTCTGTTTACACCTGCGCTAGTGAAGATTCTTTGCGAGGGTTTACCGCTTTCAATATCACCCCTTGAGAAAAACAGGTCTTTCAGTTGTCACATTCGAAGCGCTGCCAAGTTCTTGAAGTAAAACTAGGGCATTTTACTCGCAGGTATGCTGGAAGTTCACTGGTGTCGAAATGAATAGGAAGCTGACGAGTGTACTCCTGCCTTGAAGCAGGGCGAAAGTCCCTGGTGTCAAATGGAAGGCGACGAAACCCGAGAACATTTGGTCAAATTCAACCGCCAGCCGAAACAGCGCACAGGCCGAGTTGAGAGCTCTCTATGCCAGTTATTCACCAAGCCAAATCTTCAGCACCATCCTTGATGATGAAATTCTCACTCACATCATTATACAGACCGCCAACTAAGCAAAACAGAAAAATGAGCACGGCTTTATCTCGATTTGGACGAACTCAAGAGGTTTATTGGCATTCTCATGCTCTCTGGCTACCATAGTCTTCCTCGGCAAAAGCTCTACTGTTGCGTCGACGAAGATGTGGGAGTGCCATACGTAGCCAAGTGCATGAAATACGTAGCCATACGTAGCCAAGTGCATGAATAGGTTTATGGAGATAACAAGGTTCTTGCACCTAGCCGACAGTTACTTGATTGGAGAAACAACCGACCGTTCGTTCGAATTCGTCCGTTCATGAAACTTTTGAATGAGAGATTTCAGCAGCATGGAATATTTCATCAAAATCTTTCAGTGGATGAGTCTATGGTCAAATACTTTGGACACCATCCTTGCAAACAATTTATTCGAGGCAAGTCTATTCATTTTGGTTATAAAAGCTGGATGATGTGCAGCACGGATGGTTATTGCTATGCTTTTGATACGTACTGCGGAAAATCAAGATGCACAGATAACAATCCTCTCGGCTCTCGTGTTGTCCTTTCCCTGCTGGAGGCAAATTCTACTCCCAGCGACCACATTGTCTTTTCCGACAATTTTTTTACTGGTCACAGTCTCCTTGTTACTATTCGTGATAAGGGATTTAGGGTTACAGGCACTCTTCGTGAAAACCGCCACATGAAGTGCCCTCTGCCACGCAAGAAGGAAATGGCGAGAAAAAGAAAGGGGACAATTTGGCCATTGTTTCGACCCTGTCAATGAAGTTCTTGTAAAGTGGAAGGACAGTAGTGCAGTGACAATGGCTACCAAATACAACAGGATTGAACCCATGTGCCTTGTAAAGCGATGGTCTTCTTCAGCCCACGAGAAGGTGAACATTCAACAACCAAGACTATTCAGCACCTACAGCTGCAGTACGAGAGGGGTTGACCTTTTTAGATCAAGCCGTAAACAACTACAGTATTCACATTTGTGGCAAGAAGTGGTGGTGGCCTTTGTTCACACAAATGCTGAACATGGCCTTGGTGAATGCTTGGAAAATTCACCAAATGATTTCAGATGAGCCTATGAACCTCCTTGCATTTCTATGCAATGTCACAAGATACTATATGCGTTTCGGCACAAAAAATCAAAAGTTTCCGCAGTCGGCCAGCTTCGATCGCGAGTGACATTGTACTTGACAAAGGGGGCCACTTTCCACACAAGTTAGAAAAGCAGCTGCGCTGCCAATCTTGCCACATGAGGTCAAGGTGGGCACGCGTGAAGTGTAATGTAACACTTTGCTTGAAACACGGATGCTTCAATAAGTTTCATGCGTCTAAGTAGTAGCATGGAGCGAATATTCGTTTTGCTATCGAAAGGGCCCAGCGTACTATTAAAGTACACCACTGTAACTTTTTACTGAATAAAGCAATTTCTATGAAACTTCAGTAATTCCTCATTTTGATGCCTCGACATCGTGCACCTAAAATAAAGAAGAATGACCGCGTAGATTTTTCTTGGTCCCCAGTGGGTTAACTGACCAATTAAGTGTCATATAAAAATAAAATAATTGGCATCACATGACAGTAAACCATATGTCTGTGGGTTCATTTAGTCACGGTTTAATGCTTAAAAAAGTATTTTCTTCTACTTACGTGAAGTGAAACACCCTGTATACTTACTCACTGTCAATTTTTATTACAACACCGCCTTGCTATTCCCCTTAGGTATGCTCGTTTTTCTTTTTTAGATACCGTAAAGTATTTTTTTTAAGTGCTACAAATAAAAAGGTAAACAGGACAAAAAGTTGTATGTGTGAAAATTTGGTTGAAGTGCATCGAAAAGACACGGACAGACGAGGCTGACAATGTAATCCAACTGGCCCAACTTGCCATCTCACTGCAAAGAGTTGGAATAGTGTGATTAGCAGTAATTTCCTGTGATGCAAAAGGTTTTTTTTTTATCAGGTACAATACATCTGGGAAGTTTCTGTGTGGAACAAGAGCTCTCGGAGCAGAAATGGCAAGACATTGCATGTTAGTAGATATATTGCTAATGAATGCTTCATGAATATCTAGACAAGAAAAGATAATTAAAATAATAAGTGGGTTTTAACGTCCCAAAGCCACCATATGAGTATGAGAGACGCCTGTAGTGGAAGGCTCTGGAAATTTCGACCACCTGGGGTTCTTTAACTGTGCACTCAAATCTGAGCACACGGGCCTACAGCATTTTCACCTCCATCGAAAATGCAGCCGCCGCAGCCGGGATTTGATCCCACGACCTGCGGGTCAGCAGCCAAGTACCTTAGCCACTAGACCACCACGGCGGGGCTAGACAAGGAAAGACCGTGCAGTATTATGTTCTCAGCAAATGTGTGCTTTGACTTCATAGTTTCACTCTTCACATGACGCTTCTCAAGGTATATCACTACCGGCGTTGTTGGATGCTCTACAGCTGTCAGGTGATGCGGTATTACAAAAGCTATAACTACGTTATAGACAAGGTAAGACTGCACCGGTATTGGTCCCATAGTGCGGAGGTTTTTTATTGAAGTTCTTGCATCTAGGCGGCAGCCCGCTAGCTTGTGGCCAGTCAGCTAAGGTGGTACAGTGGTTAAGGTGCTCGGCTGCCGACTGGAAGGTCGCAGGTTTGATCCCCCACATTTTGGTGGAGACAAAATTCTAGAGACCCGTGTGCTGCGCGATGTCAGCGCATGTTAAAGAGTACCAGATAGTCAAAATTTCTGGAAACCTCCACTACAGCATCTTTCATAATCAAGTCATCGTTCTAAGACAAAACCGCAGATATTATTAGGTATTATTAGCTCGTCACCAGTAGAGCAGCAACATCTACGAAATACAAAAAGTCACTGCTAGTGCAGCTTATAAAGAATTGCCAAGTAAATGAATCCCAATAACTTGTTTCAGGAAGAAACTAATATACATTGAGGAAGAAAAATAGAACTTCATACAGTCAAATATATATATATCACTAAAATTAAACACAGTTGCTCGCAATTAAAACATTATCAAGTAAACACCTCTATACACAAGCATTTGCTGTTGCATTATATATATCTATAGTAGCAACTTTACAAATGTAATAAAGTATCTTGAGGTACAATCGGGAAGTGTCGTATCGTAATACAATGCCAATGTATTTTTGCCCAGCTCTTTGTGTGCGTGTGTATACAAGCAGATGCATGCTTGTATATATATACAGACACACACACAGGTTTGGCCAAAGACAAATTGATATTGTATTGCGATATGATACTTGCCAACAGCTTCGACTGGTAGACCTGTCAAAACTCTTATATATTAACATGGTACTTCAATAAATATTCTGATATTACATACAAACAATGTTGGGAAAACGTTTTGAATTACTGAAGAAAAAAACAGCCATGACACTAGTATTCAATTAGTAGACCAATGGGTAAAAAAATTAGTAGACCAATAGGTAAAAGATGTACTACTATTCTACTAATATTATTTGCTACAGTTGTGCATATCACATTTTAAAAGTAGAACTGTTGGGAGTGTCCAGATAAGATCAAACACGAGGTTCTAGCTCCCATTCCCAACTTTATGAAAGTTACTGTGGACCTAGGAATTAGCACTAGAACAATGGTTTAAAATTTTTGTTTTGTGAAAAAAAATTTCTTCGCCTGAAAGAATTTATATATAACTTTTAGTGATGAAAAACTATTTTCCGCAAGTTTTGATTTCTGACATTTATGCACACATTGGTAAAATATGGTGCGCTTCTCAATCATAGTACTGTTTCTTCTTAACGAAAAAAGTGATAGACAATGTTTTAAGCCAACCATTATTATTACTTGTTAAAAAACTTTAGAGGAACAAAATCACAAAAACTGCATAAGATACCACTATATTTCAGAAATTTATTGCTACGAAGAACTTTAACCCTGTAAGACGCTACGTAGACAATTGTGTACCCTACTCGTTTTAGCTATTTGCATCAAGTAGACTCTCAAAACTGACATAACCAAAAATGACTTTGCAATATATTGCCACAGCTCGACCATCGCAGAAGACGCGTACCACAATTCGCGTTCGTAAAAGCAGTCAAGCAAGTAGCAAGAAAGCCGCGCCATGGAACGCCGTCCTGCACGCGCCATGATGCTACACCATGGGACTGGCACGAGACTCGAGGGGCAGAGGAAGAGACCGACGAAGTTGGAGTCAGCGAGCACAGGCATTTTTTTGGCTGACCATTTTTAGCTTTGAGTTTACGGGCACAAGTTCGCCCTAAATAAAGAGTTTATATAGTACCAGGTGCTATATTTATTCGTAACAATCTGGTGGAGGTGCTGGGTATGTTCCAAGCCCACCACAGGCAAGGGAGAGAAGCCCAGATCTCAGAAAATTGGAGCCAGCAGAATTGACACCTGTGCACCAACGCACGAGTCGCCGACTACGTGGTGAGCAGCCTGAGTTTGGCCCCCTAATTGACTCATCAAGGCCTGTCAAGACCTCAAGCACAAGCGTCACTGCGATGGCCACCCAGTCGATGCCATCTCCATCTCACCTCATTGTGGATTCGCCACGTACACCGGACGTCTTCCACGGTGAGACCTTTGAACACGCCGAGGACTGGCTTGAAGGCTTCGAGCGCATTGCACGTTTGAATGGTTGGGACGAAGCCCGAAAACTTCGTTAGGTTTACGTCGCCCTGCAAGATTCGGCACGTACATGGTTTGAGAACCACGAAGCGTCCTTGCTGTTGTGGGACGACTTCCGACGAGAGCTAATCGCAACCTATTCGAACACGGACCGCAAAGAGAAGGCAGAGGCTGCTCTTCAGGCGAGGAATTAACGGAATAACGAGAGCGTGGCCATGTACATAGAAGACATGTCACGGCTCTTCCGCCGAGCCGACCAAAACATGGCCGAGGAGAAGAAGTTGTGGCACCTAATGCGCGGAGTAAAGGAAGAAATTTTCGCAGGCCTGGTGCGTAATCCACCGCGAACTGTGGCGGAGTTCCGGTCCGAGGCAAGAACCATGAAAAGGACACTACAACAACGTGCGCAACTGTACAACAGAGACTTCAGCGTCTCTTCAGTCAGGGCGGAGTCAACAACCCTCCCCACCAACGTTGACGTCCTCCGGGAAATGGTGAGGGCTATTGTTAAGGAGGAGCTCCAGAAACTGCAACTCCCCCAAAGTCCTCCAGCAATGCCCTCAATCGCGGACGTTGTACGTGAAGAAGTGCGGCAAGCAATTATTCAACCGCAGCCTCAGGTGCCACACCACACGCAACCGGAACCTCAGCCACAGCTGTCGTACGCGCAAGTCGTACGGCAAGACATGAGACGCCCGAGCTTTCAAGCTCCCGTTATGCCACCGACCTTTCCTCGCAGTACGCCACCGCCGATGCCAGAAGCGAGACCCCGCAAAAGTGATGTATGGCGCACGGCCGACCGGCGGCCCCTCTGCTACCACTGTGGGGAGGCAGGTCATCTTTATCGGACATGCCACTACCGTCGGGTCGGGCTACGTGGCTTCCCAGTGAATGCACCCTGCCCTCGTAACGGTGAGCGCCCTTACGAAATCTAAGAATATTTATCTTCGCGCTATGCCTATCCAAACACTCAGCGACGTGAATCACGGTCGATTGCACCAATGCGCAATAGGTCGCCGAGTCCACACCCATCATCTACTTTCCCGAGGCGTCGTTCACCAAGCCCGCGACGGGAAAACTAGAACCAGCGGCCTGTGGAGGCAGGGCCGCTGATTTTCGGAAAACTTAAAACCCTCCATCGCTAACCGGATCAGACGACGACATTGACACAACGACGGATGTCACACCGGTCCCGTTAATTAGGGAGGCGATCGCCGGGCTAATTCCAAGGGCCGAAGTATTGGCCCCCCGAACCGCACCACGAAAGCGTGGACAATTTAGAAGTGGTCCTTTTTGGCGCGCCAGCGGACGCCGGTTGTGGCCCAAAGAACAAGTCAGAGCTGAGAGTTGATAAACAAAACAAATATTATATTTTCAAAAATGGCAGATCGAAAACAGTACACAAGAATGCACACACCACAATAGTTACATCCAATACGTCACCAAACAAACAACGTACTACACAGTACAATCAGCCACACTCAAAACAACGGACACAGACAACGATACGCACTATAATGCAGTCGCATGCATTGAACAACCAAGACACTTAAAGACTAAAGAGATAGAAAATCTATTCAGTCCAAAGTCCTTGGAACAAAAGTCTGGAGGATACTCTTCCGAGAATCACTCACTCAAAGTCCAGCGTTGTTGTCGTTCCGCGCCCTCGAAGTTTCTCTTCCAGGAAACCTCCCGTCTCCAATTGGCCACTCTTCAAACTTCAGCTTCTTCGCCGGAAACACGTCGGCCTCACACTCGCAGCGGTTGCCACGGGTCTTCGCTCGATAGCGGTAAACACACGCGCTTGCCTGTAGCCCGAGCCTTCACCCCTCAGGTGGAAATCCTCTTCATCTCCGGCTTCGTCCCTACGGACCAAAAACTTCGCCGACTACACGGCGGAATCCCTACGCGCTCTGGCGCTCACTTCCGTCTCCTCCTGATCTCTCATCTCGGCTGCTCGGTTAAATACCTTGCGCGCGACATTCCAGACGGTTCTCCTCATTTCGTCGGCGCGATACACAGCGAAAGCTGGGGAGAGGTGCGAGACGGTTCGACTGCCCTCCCCGGAGGATGATTCAACTCGGTATGACCCCGCCCCGTTCGTTCTAGAAAAATCGCGGGCTTGCTGGGCCGCCGATGCGGGGTGAGGAGGTTCGTCTGCGAAGCCACGCTTCCGCGGTAAGAGCGCGCGCCCGGGGAGCCTTGGACGTTTACTTTCTTTTTTTTTTTCTTTTGACCTCGCGGCGTT